GAGACGTTGGTGATCAGGCTATTCCGCGAGACCAGCTTCTTGAAGTCCTCGCGCGAGATCTGCTCATCGTTGACGTGGATTTCCGCGTGCGGGGAGACGAAGGCGTCGAAGGCGCGCTCGATCTCCTCTGGCTCGCTTGCGGTGTAGATACTTGTGAGGCCTTGCTGGGTGAATTCGCGCAAGCTGAGTCCCATGATTGTTCTGTGCGATATTGTTGTAGCTTTGTAGATATTTGGACAGTGTCTGAGAGTGTGTGGTAGGCGTAAGAGCATAAGCCTGCGTCGTTGCCCGGGTGAACGTCACCAAGCTCGGTATATGTCGTAGCAGCCGTGGGAGTAAGAACTGACGTCACTGGCGCCGGTCGCATGGCGCTAAAATGGGCGCTAAAATAAAAGCGCCCGGACACCAGGTCCTTATGCGATGCTGCGACGTATCCGAAGCTCTGGAGACTGGCAAAGCAAATTGATAGAAGACTGAAGACGTAGAACACGATAGTATAGTCCTGAATTTTTTTGTCCTTCGGAAGAGACATTGAAATAGTCTCGTCGAAGAGACAATCGATGTGACATGCAGATTTCCCACAGGAATTATCACTAGCTCTTGATCCATAAGTTAATCGTCCGGTGGGTATGGTGGTGATGATACATGGACACGAATCTCTAGCCTCATCTACGACGCAGAGATCTGTATGGATGCCTTCGGTGGTGTCCAGCTTTGCCCAAAGCGCCTCTTCAGCAGCGTCTCCATGGGCATGACAGGCGCAAGACGGCAGCGCGCCCGCCACTTCCACCATGTCTTCCATGTCTTCTTCTCCGCCATCCACATATCCGCCATCGTCTCTCTTGCCACGTCATCTGCTAACCACCATTCGTAATAATACCATGTCGACCCGCAACTGCCATGTGCTGTCTCGGCGTGCGGCGGGATGCCCATGTGCGCGGGCGAGCTGTTGTCCTGGAGCCATACGGACACGAATCTTGTCGGGAATAGGACGAAAAGGGCGTTGATAAGGGTCTGGTCCTTTCCGACAAAGATGTCGCGGGAAAGATAGGCATCGTGGTAGCTGTAGTATAGCCGCCGGTACCAGTTTATGGCCGCCGCAGAACCACCGAAGAAGGACCCTACGGTTGTCGTCAGCGTGAGATACAGTAAAGGCAGCAATGGTTGGGACGCACCTTCGCTGAACTCAGTATCAATAGGCCCCTGATCCTCCGTCCACGTCCGCTTGCTCGCAGGAGGCGGAGCCCATATCGGGAAGAATATAAGCTCGTCCTTCGGCGTATCGCTGACACTCGACGCCAACGAGAACACCTCGTCAACTCTCTCGACATGCGGCCACTTCGTGTACACATGGTCGTCGCGGAAGCTCCCCGCATCCGTCCAGAACGCGTACTCGTACGTCGCGTGTCCCGCACGCGCCTGCGCGTTCTTCAGCCCCTCTTCCAGGAAGTACGGTTTGCCCGACCAGATAGCGTACAGTTCGGGGCCGTGGCGGAAGCTCTCGCGGTCCCAGGCTTGCATCTCCGTGTAGCGCGCCTCGAGGCCCTTCAGAGGCGGAATCTCGAACGGCGAAGCGAAGGACGTGTTGACGGTGATAGGTAGGTCCCCTCTGAGAGAACGAATTGTCTCCTCGAGTTCGGGCGTCGTGAAGAAGTAGATGTCTGTTTGGATAGGTTCGAGGAAGCGCCTCATCCATGCCGAGTAGTCGTCTAGCGAGTGCTTGGACTTGGACAGCGGGTAGAAGGCGGACACGAGGAGGATACGAGGTGTAGACGTTTTGGTGTCATTATGGGAGGCCTTTGACCCTATAGGGATGGTAGTGTTCGGCAGGGAGGTGCGAGAGAAGGGATTGGCAGTGGTCGACGGAAGAATGAAAGTGTCGAAGGAAACATAGAGTACGAGAGTCAGTACGATGCCGATAGCGACGATGCCAAGCCTGTACTGCACTCTTCCAGTGATTCTCAGCATGCCAGCAGCTGGCTATGAGAGCCTTCGGGAGGCTAAGTGCTCTGGATAATCGTTGCAGAAGGAAAGCTAGAGAGATGTGGCTGCCGTCGAGTTGCTGCGGCTCCGAGTATCTGCGTCGGAACTTGCCGTAAACATAAGCGCCGGCGCGGTGACTTCAATATTCGATTCCAGATGGCCGCACATGCAACGGCTGCTTTAGCCACTTCATCTTCAGATACTCATTCTCAATTCATGCTTGGGAAATCGTATGACCATTTTCCAGTGCATGTTGAATTTCTAGTGCAATGAAACCGCATCTATTCCGCGCTGCCCTTCGCTACTGACCAAAATCCGAGTACTCTAACTCTGTCAAACTCTCATCGTCGTCGAACATCCTCCCTTCATCCATCTCAGAGCCAGAACCACCATCATCAGCTGCGATCGGGCCCCCGGATTGATTTTCGGATGCAGGTGCACGCCGTCGCTTTCGAGTTCTCAAGGGCTGGCGGCGATTTCTGACGTTGGGCTCGGATCGGCCTTCTTTCTCCCGACTCTTCCACCTTGCAAATTTCGCTTCTATGTCCGCCTGAAATGTACTGTCGTACCCTACAGGTTTGAGAACAAGGACATTGAGAATCTACAAGGCGACAGAAAGGTAAGTGACGGGTCGCTTCGCGAACTCGACTACCGAACTCGACTAACCTCTTCGCCGCTACTGAAGGCATCCAATACATCTTGTTCACTGACTGCCAGTGACCTCTTCTTGACTTCGTTCTCGATGCTTTCAAGCGTAACTGCCAGGTGATGCCGACGCAGAGCAATGCGAGCCCGAGCCGACGTATAACACCACCATGATTGAGGGCGCAGTATGTCCTTAGCCCATTGTCGACGGACCTGAGTATTCGTCCGTCACTTGGGCACCGGGACGAGGAAAAGGGATCAGAACGCACTGGTTGCGGTAGATCCCGAAACTCTGCGGCAGAAAGGGGATTCTCGGCCTTTATGACCTCGTATTCGCCTCTGTACTGCCACAGCGGCTCCTGTGTCGCTCGAACGAAGACGCTCCATGGTGCTTCGTCAAGCATCTCAAGCCTGTTGGCAATAATTGTCCCAGGTTTTCCCGGGGCTGGCGGTAGACCCGGATTGTTGGCCCACTGCGAGAAGACGAGGCGCCGCTGCTGACCTTGCGGGACATTGTGCGAGGGGTGGATCTTGGCGAGCCAAGATTGGGGCTGGCATCTATATTGCTTGGTGAGAAAGCGGCGGCTGACATATCCCGCCAATGGGTTGATATCTGAGGACGAGGATGAAGACGGAGTAACGGATCCATTTGAAGGGACAGGGTAGGGAGGATGAGCGGCTGCACGGGCATTGAGGGACACCGGTACGTCTTCCACGTAGTCGGGTTGATAGATGCTGGCGTTGACAGTCTTCGAAGACCCACTGTCTCCGATGGCCTGCGAGATTTCAATTACCGACAGTCGAAGGGCGACACATTTCCAGAACTTACCGGATTTGTAGAGGGAGCGGCCGTCCGTAGAGATGCAGAAGGTCTGGCAGGGGCGGTGATGAATGATGGTGCGTTCGCCGTCGCTTTCTCCTTTTCTTTTCCAGCAAGAAAGCGCGATGAAAGCTTCCTCGCTGATATTGTCAGAGAAGGATACGAGACTCTGGAATGTGCGATGGGCTCGTGCGCCCGCTGTGACTGTGGTCCGCTGTGCGGCAACATCGTCCTTGTATCCTGCGACCTTTGATATCTACTGCTGGACCATTGAATGATACAAACTGACCTTCATGACTGTCGACCTCAGATTTCGAACAGGCTGGGAGTCCAGAGATTCCACCCGTATACGCTTTCGGGGCGGCCCACGCACGCGCAGCGTTGTGTCTGCGTGAAGACTGGTGCAGGATTAGTGGGATTAAGTTCTCTCAGGGGAAGAGGAGAGTATGCATACAGCGCAGAACGCTTCGTCGCGAGGTTTTCGGACGGTGTGTCTATGGTGTTCTTATTCTGATTTTACTTATCAGGCATTGCGTACCACATCTCAGATACGGGCACGTACAGAAGACGCCAAAGGCGCCTCTTTTGCGTCAAGTCGCGGCTCGGCTTTAGGAGGTCGGAACAACGGTTTGCCCAGTTGATCAGTTGCAACATCTTCGTCGGAGTCGTCGCTGATGATGATTGTTTGCTGTGACAGAGATGTAGACTTTCAAAATATTCAGATAAAAATAAGAGGAAATACGTAGGAGGGACGAACAGGAGGGCCGTTAGGAGGTTTAGACTCTGCGACCGTACTCGGGGCAGGCAGGCTCTCAACTTTATTCTTGACCTGGCTTGGAGTATTGTTTGGGAGCTGATCGCGGGCCGCTCGGAGAGCCTCGAGCTCCTTCCGCTGCGAATCGTACGAGGCGCGAAGAGCCTCATGTTCCGTCTGCTGCATGCCATACCTCGTACGAAGATCCTCGAGTTCTTGCTGTTTCTTATAGCTATCTTGCCGCATACGCTCTAGCTCGGCGCTTTTTTGCTCAAGATGATGGCGAAAATATTCACGTTCTTTCCGAGCATCACGTAGGTCATCTGCATAGTGATTGATTTGTCGCGTCAAGTTGTTGGTTTGGGCCTCGAAGTCCCCTTTGAGCCGCAGTGTCTGATGTTCAAGCTTGTCTATTTCACGTCTTGCATCACGAAGGGCGTCTTCGAGCTGTGAAAAGTGTTTGTCCAAAGAAGGCGAATGACGGCGGAGTTCGGATGGTTCCATGGGCTCGGAGATAATAGAAGTGAGTCCGACTCCGTCGTGACGAAGAACCAAGGTCAGACGCTTGCTACGGAGAGGAGGAGATCTTGGTACTACGTTTCCCAGCATCTAGGAAGGGCACATGGTGTAGTTGGTTATCACGCTCGCTTAGCATCTTAATCACGTGATCTGCGAGAGGTGTCCGGTTCAATTCCGGATGTGTCCAACTTTTGACCGGGTATTCATTTTGGTTGATGAAAACTCTTCTATCCCACCCATTATCAAAGCTTCCTGTTTAACATTGCTATCTCACATACAGGATGCATAGTGTAGATGGTTATCACGCTCGCTTCGCAAATTTCTGCAATTTCTTCGGCTCGGAGATCTAGAATGTCAATACGACTGCGAGAGGTGTCCGGTTCAATTCCGGATGCATCCAACACCGCCACGATTGGCTGCTCAGTCTTTTTCATTCGTGGTACCAGACAGATAGCAGTAATGTGCAGAGCTCCGAGTTTGAACAAGCAACCGTTAGGTTATTGCATAGTTCAGGCAGATATGCTTGTTGGTTTCATTGGAATTGTGTATGTGCGAGGAAGCAGCAGCATGAGGATCTAGGTTGACGTGCAAAACACATATCCATGCGGCATGGTAAAGCTGGGGTATGAGGAAGAATGCAAAATTGACAGCAGGGCGGAAAGCGAAGGAAAGCATGAAGTGACATGTGCTCGACATACGTCTCGAATGCAGACAGCAGTCAGAACACCAAGAAAGGTGATGAACTGAATAGGGCGGACGAATTTAGTCCCACAACCGATTCGAGGAACGAAGTCCGAGAAAGATGCGTCGTATCCCGCCACGGATCGTTATGCATCTCCCGCAGCAGCTTGACCCTGCCATTCGCGCCACCGACTTTCGACGTCTTCTAGGTAGTCGTAGTCGTAGCCGCTACAGTGCATCACGATGACGTGCAGAGTCTACAAAGTAATTACTTACAACATGATCAAGTATACACACAAACATCAAGAACGCACCTCTTTCCAGGACTGTAGCGCGTCACAGATGTCGGTCTCATCTAGCTCCATCGCGGATTGTTCTTTCTGTAACAGAACCAATTCCCGAGCGATAGCATCCCTCGTTACCTTCGCACCAATCTTCCGAAACCAAATTCGAATGCGAAGTTCTGCATGGGAATCATACTCTCTTCTTGTAAGTAATTTAACCCATGTCCTTCTCGTCTAGAGCGAGCAAAATCTCAGAATGCTGCTCACGAGCGGTGTTGTCTCAACATACCGACTTATCGAATGCACGAGCCTCATCAGCCGTAAGAGGGTTTGGACTCCTTGAAAAGGTATAATATCCAAAATATTTCCAGAGACCACCCGCTGTCTTCATCCATAAGGAAATAGGCCCACATTTCAAAATGTCGGGGAGGTTGGTTAACATCGTTCCCGGTGCACCGGGTTTCAAAGGAAGACCCGGGCTGAATTCGGGGTTAGGGAGTATGAAGTAGCGGATGGCGCTCCCCACATCGCTCGTTTGAGATTTAATCTCGCCGAACATAGAGCCGCCAATACCGTACACATTCTTCAAGAACGTGCGGGAGACGGCTATGGGAGAAGCTGCCCTCGACAGCCGAACAGTGAAGTTCGGTATGGTTGCTATGCGCTGCCGAAGGCCAGGGTTTACAGCCATGTCAGATTCCTCTGAGGCTACCGCAGACGGCTTCTTTCTTTTGACTTTCGTCGCCGATAGCTGCTCCAGTAAACACCATGACTTTCAACAACAAGAGGCACTGTTCGAGAACCACCACTCACGTCATTACAGCGCTTCGATGCTTTGCTGCGTCGCGACGGTGCATCAGCCGCAGGGATGGTCAAAAACAGTGCTTTAGCGTCTTTCTAGAGAAGCACCAGAGAACTGGTCGATGCGACAAAAAAACAGCAGACACTAAGCGAACGACTCACCTTTGCGTTCTTATCCAATTTTCGGCGCTTTGACCGTCGTTCGGCAGTAGCGTCAACATCCGCGGATCGAATAATGTCAACTGACCTAGCCCGTTTGAGCGGAGGAGTGTCCGGGCTCTTCGTGCAGAATATGTAGGCCATTAGGGTGAATGTGCTTTAGTAACAGATCGTACCTCAGTCTTAACTTCCACAGGAGGCGCATACGCTGCTTTTTCGGAAGATGGGCCGGCGACTGCAGTAACAGCTTGCTGCAGGTCCTGATAAGCTTCCGTCAATCAAGGGGTGTGTCACGGCAGACGTACAGTCGCCGCATGTCGCGGATGTAGTTTCGCAAGCTCTGAGCGCGAAGCCTGCAGCTTCTCCTTCCACCTTCTGGCCTCATCCTGAGCCTCTTTGACCTCGCCATCCATCCTTCCCACCAGCGCGCGGAGTTCGTTTCGCGTCTGACGCGTCTCCTTGAGATCGTCCTCCAGAACCTTCGTCTCCACTTCCATATCCTTCTTCATCCGACCGATCCGACGTTCATAATCCCGCTTGTCCCTAGAGGATTGTGCCTCTAGGGCATTGATCTTGCGCAGAGCATCTCGGAGCTCGTCCTCTAGATTTGCGTTGCGAATCTCGAGTGTTTGGTCTACGCGTCCACGAACGGTCATTAGGTATCCATTCGTCCGTCTAAGAACGTTCTGGCCTCGTAATTCAGTCTTGAATCAAAATTTGGGGGACTTAACGCGTCAGACGTCCCAATATGCGTATTGTAATGTTCGTAGACGAGTGAAGAAAGGAGAAGGCAGTCGATATGTATATGTCGAGCGCGTTGTGTTGATCACGGTGACCGCGTCGGAGTAGTCCAAATATCTGCAAACAACCTTGCAGACGTTTTGGTGGTGTTGGTTATCTCGTTCCAATATTTGCAGGTGTGCGGTTCAATCCCTACATGACTCAATCTCCGGAGCACGTATGTTTTCCGGATTTCGGATTTGAACATCTCCATCTCTTCCATCCCCTACTTACAACCAAAATTCAACCTAAATGCATTGACGGCGGCGCACAGGGCCTTAGAATACATTCCAAAACATTACAATACAGAACTATGTAACTACGGCTGCTGCGCCTCCCATCTCACAGCCATAAGAACGCAGTCGGGGAGTCAATTTCAATCTGCGCAACTTCCTTGATACCCCTTCCTCCCTCGACGCGCTCAAACATCTTCACGCCCCCTCCCCGTGCGCCCCCCGCGATGATCCACCGACCATCCGCGCCTCCAAGTGCCGCACCGCGAAAGTGCTTCAAGCCAGTACGGAGCTCGCTGAGCAGCTTTGGGTGCGTCGGCTTCTCGAGTGAGAATACAGACAAGGTGTCGCCGAGGGGAGACGGGTCGTTGCGGTTGGAAGTATAGAGCAGCGGCTCGGGGAACGCTTCGTTCTGCGATGCGATGAAGATCTCCGAGGCGAGCATGTCGCCGAGGGGCTCAGGGGGGTTGATAAACGTTGATGCGCGGGAGATGAGGAGTGAGGAGGCGGGGAGAGGGGGGAAGTCGTGCGTCGTGAGCGTGCTGGTGAGTTCACACAGCGTGTAGAGCAGATTATCTGGGTCGGGCGATGTAGGTCATGCAGCTCGAGCGAAGCAGTATGCAGCGACGCACCTTTCAAGACAACGTGCCGCGGGCCATCTCCAGGCCCATAGAGGACCGAGCCAACCATGGTCCACTCCCTGCGTCCCTCCTCGCGCTTAAACCGCCAAGTCCTATCAGCCCCTAAGTCAGGGACGAGGACCTCCCCCCGTTCTGGTACGAATACGACCTGGTGCGGGTGTGATGCCTCCTGGCGAGCGATATTCGGCCCAGTTCCCACTAGCTGTCCCAGTGAACTTCGCGCGTCCGAGATGTAGGGCGCGTCGGGCAGCAGGGGCGTCGTCAGTAGCGTGCCGGACGAGTACTGGGTGTCTATCCCCGTGAATCAGATGCCGCACACGACGAGCAATGACACTTACATTTCCGACGAAGAGCGTGTCATTCGTAGCGAGCAGCGACGCAGGGTCCTTCCCGCCACTGCTGATCTCCCCAAGAATGGTGCCCACTCCGTTGGCATCGTATTTGAGGACAACGACACGCCCGTTGTCCTGCTCCAGGCCCGTGAACACTACGGACGGCTCGTGAGGGTGTGGCGTGATCCATGAAGGACGGTCTCCGACAGTCGTGGAAGACACGAGCTCAAGTGAGGATCGGGAAGGGTCGAAGGCTAGGGTGTGAATTGCATCCGAGTAGGACGCGACGAGGATGTGCTGCACCATGACAGGGGTGCTCTGGGGATGATCGTCTCAGCGCGGCGCTTTGCACTTTGAAGGCAGGCGCAATCAACGGATGACGACCTGTGAGCTCGCCTTTGAAATCACGGAGGTATCGCGAATCTTATCGACGCTATCGACTGCGTCGGGGCGGGGACCCGGAGCCAATTTATAGTGGCAAATGGTGATCCTTGTGCGTTTGAAGGCCCGAATATTGTCCGACGAGGCTGATACGACAACCGCTCCGAGGCAATGGGATGTGCGCGGACATAATGAAGCTGGCCGACACCAGCACGGGCGGCGTGCAGACGAGCTGCGTGTGCGTTGGAGGCCTGCAAGTCGCAAGGGACACGAAGCTGCGAATTTCGAAGACGGGCAGAGGACGGCAAAGCCCGAGCTTTCTCCAGCCCCGACAAGCCGGCTGCAATACACGCGCACATGCTCTCCGCCCGTGCTCACTCGCGTTTGCAGCCAACGGCGCCCTCGGCTCTGGTGCAGCCGACGCGGAGAACAGTAACGCAGGACGTACTGGCCTATCAATTTCACCTTTGTTCCCCCGTCGGTCTGTAGACTAGCGCATGGCCGAGCTTTCGCCGCTGCCGCCGAGGGCCAACGCAGGCGCAAGCACGCAAGTAGGCATAATCATTAGGCACGACAGGGCGCCATAACGTCGTAGAAGGAGAACATACTGACACGCTCATAATGATCGCACTCGCGGGCACATGTGACGACGCGGAGATACAGGCATGCGGACAGGTGGGAGGGCTCGGATGCCGGAAGGCGCAGCTAAAGTTGCAGGGGTAGTGTACAGGGTCCGTGTTTATTGTGGATTAGGCATAAGGTCCATGTAGTCTCATGACGATACATAGGATAAATGAAGCGATCCGTCCGAAGCTGGCTATTACCGGGGAACTGCTGCGTCAAAATCCGCTATTTGAATACAGAAGCGATCATCGGAGGTAGTAGGGACGTACAGATGATAGACGTGGCGAGGAGGGTCAGCATATGATACAGTCAGAGTCGGGTTTTGCGAGGCGAGCTTCAAGTCTCGCTTTCAACGTGCCTTCGGAGTCTATGTACGAGGAGTTTCTGCAAGGGGGAGCCATTTAATGGGAATACGGAACAGCAAACGGACACTACGCACTCGTATTGAAGACTCGCACCCAACAAGCTCTCCTCTAGTGATACC